CAGGACAGGATGGAGCATTTGTTGGTTTGAAAAGCCTTGTTGCATCTCTCAAACCGGTGACATCACTGAGTTTATTGAGCCGTGTTAAAACAGATATTACGTGGGCCTGATTCTTCACTAAATTCCTTTACCAAAGGGAGGTTGTGTTTCTAGGTCTGCAGTGAGTGCCAGGCTCCTGACTGGGTGAGCCAAAAGTTCCTAGGCAGGCAGAAAGCTCAAGGGTTGTGAGACTCCCCCAACCCTCAGTTTTGGGTCTCCATAGGATGTTTTCATGAGAGATCAGGCCTGTTTCTTCCTCGTCTTTTGGCTAGTGAGGATTCATGCTTTCCTATTCCTTCTGAATGTCCTGGGGTGATTTCTTTTGCTACTCCACCTCTGCAAGGGGGATTCATCGCCCCTAGTGAGTGGGAGAAAGAAACAAGCTCAGTCTCCCCTTCTCCTTTCCCCCAAGTCTACTTCTTGCTGTTGGGAGTGGCAATGAGTCTCTACTACTCAAAATATGCCTTCCAAATAACGTTTTCTACTTGGAACATCCCTACAGGCTATCAAATCTTCAGTGCAGCCTTTATTGCTTAGCTTCCAGCTCTCCCAGAAGCCACAGTGCTGCAGAGGTGTCTTGATTTGGGGTAGTTTCCCTCTATATCCTAAAGCAGAGACGTTTTCCTTGCATGCTCCTGCTGCTCAGCACAACTGTGAGCCGCAGTTGAGGCACTGAAGCTCCTGTCAGTGGACCCAGGAACATGGACTTGCAGCCCTTTGCTACAGACCTTATATCCTAAGAGATAGAAGTATTGTTAATGTTAATTATTATATGTTTTGTGGCTTCAAGACCTTTGGGTCTCCAGAATTATTTTGCAGATTTAGCTATAACTCATGGAACAGAAGCTATATTCAAGAGCTGCCTGGGCAAGCATGGTGTAGGAGAAACAGATATAATGACAAATCAGAGTAAAAGGGGGAAAAAGATACTTTAGTTACAAGTTGTGTAGTGGTTTTTATGTGTGTGGATGGAGACGGCCAGTAGGATTTTGTTCTATTCTTTGTGGGTATATATGTATTTTTTTTAATAAAGAAATCAGCTGACAAAATGGAGGAGGGAAAGATAAGCAGCAGGATGGGATGCAGCAATGTAGGCACCGTGAGCCTGTGATGAAAAGGATGCTGGTACGTGGAGAGCCAGGGCTGCATCTAGGATCAGAATGTCAAAGAAAGCACTGCTGATGCCAACAGAAGCAGGGTTCTTATTACAGATAAATGAAAACCTGAGTCCTTCAGAAGCTGATAGCCTATGCCAGGCTGTGCAGAATTAGCTTCCTGTGTGTCCTTGCTAAATGAGTCCCTAAGGTCTCGAGCATCCCTGTGTGCTGAAGGGAGAGAGCAACAATTGGAGAGGAGTTGTAGCATTTCTGGAAATCGGATTTGGGTTTTTCAGGCCTATTGGTAAGTTCTTACGGGGGGAAAAAAAAAACAAAAACAAAAAACAAAGACCGCTCAGGAGATTTCTGAGATTTTAGTTTAACGTTCAGTTCTTTTGTTGCTCTTGGGATTGTATAGGTTTGTCAAGAGGAGAAGGTTCCTTCAGAAATATGGCTGTAATGCTACATCTCTGTTTATTTTGGTGCTAAGGCCTGCCTCTGTATAGATGCATTTGTGCCTGTATAGCAGCAGTGACTTCATAGAGTGTGTTTCATGACTGCATTTTAAAATTTATTTATTTATTTATTGTGAGTTAATTGTGGCTCTAGAAAGGCTGGAAACTATAGACTAGGTACCTTTTGAAAGCTCATGCTCCTGTAGCAAAAGTATATTGCACACTTAAAGATGCATATTTTAAACTGTACATTACATAGTTAAGAGTATTTTTCGAGTCTTATTTTGGTTAAGAATATTTTCCTAGTCTTTCTTTGGGAGAGGGGAAATCCTTGGAAAGTATGTGCTGTTTGAACATTAAACCTTCATTTAAATAACAAATACACAGATGGAAGCATGGCTATAAATACATGAGATGTTTATCAGCTACTCTTAATGCACGCAGTGGTGCTTCAAAAGTTGCTACTTCTCCTGGAATTAAACATTTGTGGTCTCCAGTTTGTGATAAGAAGCACTGAGATGATAAACTTGTTGATAGATGTCAAGAAAGGGATAAGGTTTCTTAAGGTAATTTTACCATAGGATTACAATAGACTGATTCCTTAAGTGAGAATTAATTACTGCTTTTGATTAAAGGAGTGGAAAATTAGGTTTTTATTGCCTGATTCCATATATTAACACCTCATTTTAATTTATTTGCTGGATCTTCCTGCCCTAATGTCAACAGAGCTCCAGGAAGTTTTTGTCTCTGTCTTCCCCCTCCCCTCTCCTAGTTTTGAGTTAGCTCTTTAGTTCTTGGCACTGCTTGTGTCCCCAGATTCACCTCCTGGTTTGTTTTTCTCTGCAGGGTGCTGTGCCCAAAGGTAACGCCACGAAGGAGTTCATTGAGAGCTTGCAGCTAAAGCCAGGACAGGTGGTTTACAAGTGCCCCAAATGCTGTAGCATTAAACCAGACAGAGCACATCACTGCAGGTAAAGTGTTTTCCCATCTCACTCGAGCTCAGGGATTAGTCAGTGGGCCTTGATTTAGTGTGTTATTGGGGTCTGAGACTACGGTGGTTAAATTTAGAGTTCAGCATGCAAATTCTGTTAATGATAGTGCCAAATGCATTTGAGGTGACCGGAACAATACTTTTGTGACTTTGTTTTGTGTTTTTTTTTTCTTTTTTTCAAAGTAAAAGATACTTTGATTGGCATTCCGTAATTTGTCTTAGCAGGTTTCATCATGCAGCCACAACTTGAAAAGGAGACATTAGATATCAGAATGCACAGAAATCCATAAAATGGGATCTCTCTCAAAGGGCAAGAGTCCTTTCTAATTTTGTTTTTACTCCTTACTCAAGGACCCATTTGTGTAATCGCAGATGCTATTTAGAGTAATGCTATTTAGAAGTGATATTTAAATTCTAAACTGAAGTTCCAGTAATAGGTGCACTTTTTTAAAAAAAGTTCTCATTTCATGTTCTCATTAAGTAACGTAACCATGTGCCTGGTGGCAGATCAGAATGTCCTTTCCTTTCCTGGTAGGATCAACCTTAGTGGCAAGTTACTGAGCTTTTTAGCACTAAAGGCAGTGTGCATAAAACACACACACACACGCACACACACTAAAACAAAAAACTCTGCTTTCTAAAATTCTTTTATGCCTTTAAAGTAAGAGAACCTTCTTCCTAGTAAGTAGCTAAAGAGTTTGCAGTGGCATCTCTTTTTTATCTACTCAAAACCCAATGCACACCGAGAGAGCTTGTATCATTGCTGCTGGTTCACTCAGGGATCTTGTGGGAAGGGGAGTACATGGGACTGAGCTGAACAAACTTCTGCTGTCTGCATTTTTGAAATGTCTCTCCGGAGCTTCAGTTTGCCAATGGTGGCTTTTTGTTTGTTTCTTTTACTCAAAAGCAGGACTTGGTTAGTCAGCAGGAGCAATGCGATCATGCCCATCACTTATTAATGCTACTGTAAAACCCCCTCCGACACTTCTTCAATTATGAATGAAACTTTGCAGCTAAAATGCTGCCTTGCCGATTACTCGCGGTATAGGTAAATGAAAAGGACTCCTTGGCTAAACACAAACCTTCCTCTCCCTGAACCTCTCTATTTGCTTCAAGATAGTTTTATAGACATTAAGATTTGGAAAACTGAGCACTGATGCTGCTGAGAATCTTCTATTGTTTTTTCTGTGTGGGTCTTTTTTTTCGGTGCTGGTCTTTGGTGATGCAAGCTGTGCACATGGAGCCTTTCCATACAGGTCTTGCTAACTGTGCACCTCAGGGAGGCTTTTTCATTCATATGTTACTAAGCAAGTCCCCTGTGCCCAGCAAATGACTCCTTCCAGGTTTGGGAAAGAACAGGGGGTGTTACATGGGCAATCCCTACTGCCTCCCACTCTCAGTTTCCTTTCCTCTCCAGCAGCTAGTTTTACTGTCTGCCTCGAACCACTTCTGGCAAAAGTACACAGAATGAAAAATCTCCACTCTGCCTTAGTTGCCTTCACAGAGGTGGCCTTGGCTTGGCTGCTTTACGTTGCCCCTCAGGGGGATAGGAGCAGTTTGATGGTCACTTGAGTACTTGCTCTTCCTCTAGCTTTTAAACTAGGACGTGGATAGGCTGAAAAAGGTGCAAAGTAAGTTAGGCCGTGGGGAGGCATCCAACCCTTTTGCACAGTCTCTCCCCTGTGCTTTTTTTAATAGCAATAGTTGCTGTTTGTCCAATGGCATTATCAGGCAGATAATTTTTGCTATGCCAGCTAATGCCTGTGCCCCCCTCAAGAGAAGTGGCTCTGGATCCAGCCATGTGCCCAGGAGCTGGGCCTGTCTGGGCAGCCTTTCCTTCAGGTCCGGGGCTATCCCAGCTCGTGTTGTTTTTCAGGCATGGCATGTATCCCTGGGGAGCCTCCCCTTGCACAATGTGCATTGAATGCAAGGCAGTTCTGAGAAAGGTTTTCTATTATTTATTCATACGTACTCACAGGACCACGCTTAGATTTTTGTTTGAGAGTATTCCTGGTCTGTCTTTAGTGTTTGGGTGTTGCTATTTATTTCCCTTAAGGTCAAAAATGCCCCCACAAAATTAGAGCCCTCAGTGCTTTCTGTTTCCATATAGCCAATATTGTTCTGCAACGACTGCTTCTTTTTGGTCTTTTTTGGGGGGTTTGTGGTTTTTTGGTTTCATATTTGATTTCTGTACTTGTTTGTGCAATGCGGTATCAGGAGACTGCCTTTCCTCCCCCATCAAATGAGAATGCAGCAGAGAAAAAGGCTTCCTTTATGATGTGAGTTGAAGCAGAACAACCGAGAGTGTGGTGTTTAGACAAAGTAGTAATCTCTTAATTGCTTGACTCCTGCAAAGTCTGCACGCTGGTAGGGATTTGCATTTTTATTTTGTTAGTTGGGTTTTGTGAAGTGCTTTAACATCTAATTTTACCTTGACTGTATCTTGTGGAACTGTCTTCCTGACTGACTCCCACTGCTGGCTTATGCTAGTAAGTGCCTCACCTTTATGTCAAGAACCTTTTCTAATGCTTTATTTTTCTTTTTGGAGAGCACCTGCTACCAGTTAGCATTAGCAGCAAGTTAAGATTTATTTATTAGCAACTGTAAAATTTATCCATTACCATTTTTAAATTTTTGACTTGTTAATTTTTTTAATGTGTGGACATTCTCACAGAGTGAGTAGGTTAAACCTGGGCTAAAACATACATATTACATCTGCTTGAATGTATTCTTCAAATTACACTTTGGCATAACCACTGATGAAAATATTGTGCTAATGTGTTTTGCTTCGCATTTATTTATTTATTTATTTACAACAGTGATTTGCTGTAATGTGGTTCATTGTGAACAGAAGCAGTCAAGTGAGCAAACCAGAAATATTCATGTAGTGACCAGCGGATTTATCTAGGTTCAAATTGCATCCCTGATTCTTTCCTTTCATTTCACTGTGTTCCCAAAATACATGTGAACTCCTGCTGTATTCTGGAATGAAATGTGCTATAAAGATGTGTGTTCTTTCAGTGTTTGCAAGAGATGTGGAAATGTGCTATAAAGTTGTGTGTTCTTTCAGTGTTTGCAAGAGATGTATTCGGAAAATGGACCATCACTGCCCGTGGGTCAATAACTGTGTAGGAGAGAATAACCAGAAGTACTTTGTACTGTTTACAGTAAGTATTTTGCAAGTGGCGGTTGCAGTTGTCCCGTGGGCAGCAAGGCAATGCTGGACACGGCTTGCAAAGGGGCCCTCCAGGCTGCCTCTTCTTTCCTGTTACATCAAACTTCATAGGGAATTGCTGGACGCTTCTGTGTCCCTCGCTAGGGAACGCAGCGCACAGAAAAGGAAAAAGGTCTCACAAAAAGTCTTTGCCTGGGTTTTGTGAGGTTTGTGCTACCAGTTGATTTACCATGTTCTTTCATAATGCAATAAGGTTTTTATTGCATTGGGCTCTTGGAGGCATGGGTGATGCTTTTGTTCTGTTTTGTGATGTGTCACGTCCAGCAGGGCCCTGGCCCATATCCAGGGTTCTTAAATGCTATAGTTGCATGAATGCATATGACAGGGGCTGTAAAATAAGAGCTGTAGCTGCTGCTTTGGTGAGCAGGAGTAGGAAGTCTCCATCCTTTCTTTTGGCAAGGATTATCCACCTCCTACTTGCCAATAGTTTATTTACATACTGAAATATCGGGGAGGTGTTTGACTTTTTATACCTTATCTGTGGCAGAGTGAGTAAGAAAATGGCAGCACAAATTCCAATACTGCATATTTATGGAATGGCTGAAATCTGTATCATCAAAGCCAAGTGCAGATATCCAGCAGGAGTAGAATGAACTCTGCAAGGCTGAGATTCAGTGATGTGCTGTTTTATTAATAAATCTTTGGGGAAATTTGTAGGTTCAGAGAAGAATGTTTCCATTACCAAGTTAAAAACAAGGGGGAAAACTTTGGGTAGGTGGAAAGTCTTACTCCTAATGCGTTTGTTCTGGGTTTCAGAACAAAATGAATGTCATTGCTTATCCTCCGAGCAGGGGTCCTTTCAGTCTTCACAGAGTGACATGGGTGCTTCAATCCTATCAGAAGGGTTTTTTTTTTTTCTGTTAAAGCTAATACCTGTTTAGAGAGAAACGAAGTTAAGATTTCTAGTTCTGGTTTTGCTTACTCTTCCTAAGACCTGGAGAGGTGCAAATATAGCTGCAGGCTGAGCTCTCAAGGAGGAACAAAATAGTTTCCTGCCTTCTTGCTTTTCCTGCTTTCCCAGGGATCTCTCTGCTAACACAATCTCTGCTGTTTCCAGCATCTACTGGCTCTTTCATTGCAATCTGTAGGTTCAGGGGGTGCTTCCTGTTAGTTTGGGGTAAATTGTAGACAGTACATGTAGCACTATACATAATGTAAAGCTTTACAAAGCTAAGGCATAATTAAAAAAAATAAGTACAGACTGTTGAATTTTGACAGGAATTTTCCATGTCAGTGCCTGCCTCAGAAGAAAGATTTATTTAAAAATAAAATCATATTTTTCACTTGCTCTGGAAATCAAATGAAGTGCTTGTTGTGATTAGAACTGGTGAGCTGTTGTTTCACTGGGCACAGGCAGTGGGGCCGGGAGTGGAGCTCCAACACGGTATCTGGGCTGCGTGTTGCTGTTCCCTGGCTGGGAAGAGCTGTGCTGTGCCCG